TACTCAACCGTTATTGGAAATCCAACTAGGCGGGAAATTGTTTGCATAAGAAAATTCTAAAACTCGAGAACGTGCAGAGCAGGCCAGGCACTCCACTTTCAAATTAAGAGAACGAGAGATAAGCTGCAGTGAGAAAAGAGGCAGACGATCTTGTAGCTCCCTGAATCTTGCCAAGGGGATAGAAAACGCATGCCACTTTGATGAAAAAAAAGATTAACTATTTATAAGTTTTTTTTAATCGTGTAGATTTATTAATTATTATTAAATAATTGATTTGTGATGAATTTAAATGCTTAATTTTTAATGTTTAAATACTGTTATTTTGTTATTCTTATCATGTCCAAGATAAAATATAATACAAATGACTTCATAAAACAAATTGGAGGTGTATGTATTAGCTATATTTTTTATTGTATTTTAAATATATTGCATTTTTATCTACTAATTTCTTAAATCTCAAATATGATATATAAAAATTTTTTAATATCATTATTCCGCGCAGGGCGCGGGTAATACACTAGTAACCACTATATATAATTAACTTGGTTCAATGTATACAGTTAATTACTTGGTTCATTATATATAGTTATCTAAAAGTTTTGCAATTTGCATCTTCTCCACTTTTAGACATATTTCTAGACGAATTCTTCCAAGGCTATATAAGAGTCTACGCAATCAAAAAATCAATCACAAAGTTTTGGGGGACACATCCAGTAGGTAACAAAAAAACACCAAAATACTATAATCTACTTCTCGAAAATTTTTTATTCTAACAAATTTGTAAAGAAGAACGTTTCTTACAAATCAATGATGTAAACAAAGATTTGGCTTGTAAATAACAAATCGACTATATATGATTGAGGATAAGAAAATGTAACTATGTGGCATTGGTTCTGTATGTATATACAATTCTATACATGTATTTTAAGGATTAATGTAAAAAATGTTATGATTTCACAATGACAGCGGAGATCATACAAAAATCAAATTAAAATATATTTCAAAGAATATGAAAACAACTGAACAAGAATGTTCTAAAGTAACCACGAAAATATTGATTAGAAAGAGAGTGCATGTGAAAGAGGCATAAGATGATGCATTACATATTTGCGACTTTCATAATTCAATACATACATGTGGCTAGGAGGTTTGCCTTTGTTGGATTAAGCTTAAATCACAAGTAATATTATTGTGCTAGAAAATAGGAAAGTATGCTTATCTAGAGAAAAGGAAAGTTAGGGTTGTGTGTAACCCTTATATAAGCATACCGAGTTAATTATATTGTGAGGAGCTT